TTTAAAGGTAAATCTTTTATCTTACCTCATTATATAGTCAAAGCATTTTTCACAATCATGTTTAATCTCATTTGAAAAATAACTAGATTTTATTTGGCCAAGGATCATTTATAAAACACTTTCACCATATATATTATCACCATACCACTTATTTATTAATATATATCACAATTAGCATATTTGGTATTAGTAGTCACTATTAAGCCATATTTAATTTGGGTAAATGCCAGGTAATACTTAAACTACAGTGAACCAAAGAGACTAAAATATCATCAGATGTGCTTCAGTTAATTGGAGAAATCACTGATTAGGCTATGTAGGGGGGAAATTGTAGATTTAGTGGAGAGATTGATAGCCATTTGCCCAGCCAGTGTTGCCCAGTAGTTGAACTATGAACCAGGAAGTCACAGTTCAGTTCCTGGTCACGGCACATGCCCATGTGGTGGGCTCGATCCCCAGTGGGGGGCATGCAGGAGACAGCTGATCAGTGATTCTCTGTCATCATTGGTGTTTCTATTCCTCTCTCCCTCTCCCTTCCTCTCTGATATCAATAAAAATAGATTTAAAAAACCCTAAAATAGGTGGGGTTATTTTAGCATTTGTAAACATTTAATTAGCATCTGTTGCATTAAAAAGTATTAAACACCTATATATTCAGGATTATCTTGTATATGTTTGTTTTTTCTGAAGGAAAAATATGAATACTCCATATGTTTCTTTTCTGGATAGATAATGATTTATTCTAAAAATCTATAGATCTTTGGGTTTGTGCTGTTATTACTGTATAAAGCTTAACAATTTTATTTAGAGACAATGAAGAATAAAGATGAGAGACCCAGTACCATTCTGATTAGGAATATTAGCCCTGGGTGATCATAGAACACCAGACAACAAGAAATGCAATTCAGAAAAAAAAATTGACAGAATGAAATGAAAATGTATTCCTCATTGCCTTTGAACATATCTATGTACAATACATTTGACACACTGATGCTTTTTTCTTAGGGTAATCTACTCCATGCTCTTGTAGGACATTAGAACACAGTTTCAACAAGAAGCTGTGAATTGTTCCCCAGGCACTGATGGGAGGATTTGCTATGGAATTAGGAATGGGGGGATTTATTCTTGTACTAGAGGCCCAGTGCATGAATTTGTGCACCAGTGGGGTCCCTAGGCCTGGCTGTGGGATCAGCCGAGATGGGCTCTCTGACATCCCTCAAGGGGTCCCAGATTGGGAGAGGGCAACAGGCCAGGCCGAGGGACCCCACCGGTGCATGATCGGGGCTGTAGAGGGATGTGGGGGGTTGGCCTGCTGGGGTGGGGCATGGGAAGGCTCCAGGGCATGTCTGGCCCATCTCGCTCAGTCCCGATCAGCCGGACCCCAGCAGTAAGCTAACCTACCCATCAGAGCGTCTACCCCCTTGTGGTCAGTGCATGTCGTCATAGTGAGCAATTGAGCAGCCTTAACATAACATTAGCATATTACACTTTGATTGGTTGAACAGGACACTTAGCATATTAGGCTTTTATTATATAGGAATTTGGTCTTCCATTATTTTCATTTCTGTATGTCTTGTGTTGTTTCTGGCTCTGCTCCAGTGCTTTCCTTGCTGTCTGGCATCCGTGAAAGGGAAGGTTGTTTTCTGCATTTGGAAACACCTTCCAATGGTGAGGGGACTAACTATCGGCAGTGTGAGCATGACAGTCCCTATGCCTGTGCTGCAGCAGCAATTAAAATTTAAAAAAAAAAAAAAAAAAAAATGTTTTTACTTATTTTAAAAAATCAGTGACTACTTCCATGGCATATGTTCAGATTTGGCTAGCATTTGTTCATGCCTATTTTGTACTAGAATCGTATTTATACTTAACATTTGTTATTTAATTAAATTGTTCCATATAAGCCTAACTAAACAAAGAGACATATATTAATTGCCTGAAATTCAGAAATGAGCAATGAACTTGTTTCTGTTAATACAAGCATACGTGATAGTCAAGTTTCAATGTTCTAAGTCTCATGATGGACACTTCATTTTATTTTTTAATTAAATAATTTATTTAAATATACTATTTGTATTGTTTTAATGAAGCTACATGTGCTTATTGTAATTTTAATAGTATAAATAGTAAAATTAAGATTGTGTTTCTGCCACCTAGAGGCAACAATTATTAACTCATTTCTTTATTAGCTTTCAGCCTTTTTTAGGGCGTGTGTGTGTGTGTGTGTGTGTGTGTGTGTGTGTGTGTACGTGTACGCATGCAGGCATGCATGTGCTATTTTAACGTATTTGGGTTCATACTGTAAATACATTTTATATTCTACTCTTAAATCACTTGATATTGTATTGTGAAAATGTTCCCATATTGTTAAATTTTCTCAAAGCATAGTTTTTACAAGTAATCCTATGGCTATTTAATAATTTAGTTAATTCCCTGTGGTGGCTGTGGAGGTGGTTGTGAGTTTTTTAACTTGATTTTTAAAAGGTGCTATAAACAACTTTATGCATAAATCTCCTTCAAAACCTCTGGCTCTTTGTTTAGGCCTGGGGTTACTGCTTTTGTTTGATGCCCTGGAGAAATGGCTTTCCATTCCAGATGCTTCTTTGAGTCAGGACACCGGGTGTGAATGACCTGGTATTTTCACACCTTTGGGGTCGACAGTGCTTGATTGTATGTTTGTATGTGTAGAGGAATACATAGTAGTCTTTTCAGGTTTGCCTTTTTCTTAGCAGAAATTCTTGCTAGACCCAAGCCATAAATGACCAGCTCTGAGTCTTAGTTTTGTTGGAAGTGGGAATTTCAACTTTAAGATGGTCTTTATAGGTATTTTAATATGATGTCGGGAGCAGCTCAAAAATGCTAGCCAGATACACGATACTGATCACTTAGCATATTAGGTCACTTATATGTTAATATAATATTAACTTAATATTTAGTTAATAAATATTAATTTTTTATAACTAAAAAATTAGTTATTTTAATCTTAAAAACCCCTATCCTCCCAGGGCACTTTAAAGATACTTTTGAAGGTAATCTTTGAAGTTTCTATATAACTAATCATTTTCCTAAAAAGTAAAGAAATACGGCATGACAAATGTGCAAAATAAGTCTGTAGGGGGACAGAAGAGTGATTGTCATGTGGATGGTTTTTTCTTAAGTTCCTTTACTTGCTATTTATTCCAACAGGCTGGAGTACGAATTTAATTTTCTTAAGAGCTGACTATATAGTTTTATTTAGGTTGTAATGTGTTTATTGGTGACTTGTTTATGATAATATAAATATAATCAAGATGTTCTGTACTTTATAAATTGTAAACAAATCTGTTTTGTAGGATTTGGATCAGAGATACAACACTATTCTGCAGATGTACGGAGAAAAAGCTGAAGAGGCAGAAGAACTTCGATTAGATCTTGAAGATGTAAAAAATATGTATAAGACTCAAATAGACGAACTTTTAAGACAGAGGCTCAGTTAACTTCTGAAAATTACATTCCCATCAAACTTATTGTAGTCATTTAATAACAAAATACAGACTTTCAATAAATTCTATTATAAATTAGAAAGTGGAATTTATTATAGAGTTAAAAAATTGAAGAAAGTTTTATAGTATATAGTAATATTTGCAGTTAAATTATTTTATGCAATATTTGAACTTTATTTTTGAAACTATCTTTAAAGATTTATTTTTTAAAGCATCTTTTCCCTCCCCCCCATGAATAGCACCAAGATTTATTATTTTTTCCTTATGTCAGTATGGTTAGGGAAGAAGAATGCTGTTCATACATTGTATTATAGATAAAAACTAATTATATCTATAATTTATATGTGTTTGTATATACTGACAACATTTAATGAGTGATATTGACATATTGAAACTGAAATCTTTCACATTTAAATCGTCAACATTTCTAGTTACTGCTCATGAAAATGGACATTAAGTGCCCAATTAAAAAACTTCCTGTTAATAAATTTTGAACTGAATATTTTTCCTTTAAAGTAGAAGTCACACTGACACAGAAGATTAAAGGATGAATGAATTAAAAGCATTTTTATGGCTCTAGCCGGTTTTGCTCAGTGGGTAGAGCCTGCAGACCAAAGGGTCCTAGGTTCGATTCCAGTCAAGGTCACATACCTTGATTGCAGGCTCCTTCTGGCCCAGGCCCTGGTCGGGGCTTGTGCAGGAGGCAGCCGATCGATGTGTTCTCTCACATCAGTGTTCTCTCTCTCTTTCCCTCTCTCTTCCACTCTCCCTAAAAATCAATAAAAAATATCTTCAGGTGAGGATTAACAACAACAACAACAACACCACTAACAGAAAACCACCCAAAAAACTAAAAACATTTTTGTGGTCCGAAGATTTATTTTACCCAGATTCCACAGTTAAGTCTGTACAAATTGTGTTAGTATCTGGAGAAAGCTAAGCTATGCAGTTATCTAGGCATGGTTGGATAATGGGGAAAATGTGCTCATAGTGATTTGTGATGGTTATCAGTAACATTTAAGTGATTTTGAAGAGGTTTTGTTTTTACTATCCTATGAAATCAACATAAAATTGTTAACATAATTTTCTCAAAATTTTTCACATTTTGTGAAACCTTATTTGTAGCACATTAAAAATGAGTGTTTCATATTACAGAACATTCATAACAAAAATAGAGAAATTGTAAGAATCAATTTAAATTTGGCATTTGCAGTTCTGTGTAATTTATCATTTTATTTTTTTCTTGAACCTTTAAACACAAACACAGTGCAAATAGCTATAAAAAATAGCTATGCCTTCTTCCCAATGTTATTTTATTCAGAAGTTAACCAGTCTGTGTTGTATACTTATGAAATATTTTAATATCTTTTATTACTGAAAGTCATTTCACTGCCTTTGCTTACAAATAAAAATTCTCAATTGTGAGTTAAATTTTAAACACTAGAACTTTGGAGTATAACTATAAGTAAGCCATGTTAAGGAATTGAATACTTTTCAGGGTAATTCAAGTGACATTTTTTCTTTCCTTTTTGTATTCTAGACCCTATTTCTGGCACTGGATTTCTGGTGTTTATTTAGCATTAGTAAATATTCTTTCAGAGTGAGCCAAATTCATAAAGTTATATTTCTATATTTTAGTGGTATATCAGTGTAATCTTTGTCACCTTGATTTTTTTTTAAATTTAAATTTAGGGTTGACAGGAAATGGCAAGACTGATAGCAATAAGAAATATATAGAAGATATAGGAAACTTAAGTTGCAAAATTCTGACAAATGTTTGAAATTAGAAGTTTAGGAATTATGAAATTGTTTTTAAAATATTCATTAGTGAGAGAAAAAAAACCCTTTAGTTGTGGGGAAAATTGAAATAAAACTATATCTTCTATTTTCATATTAAACATTCTCTTAATCCTTCTAAACATTAATAAAACCAGTTCAACTTAAAACTTTAAAGTGTTTTCAATTTATTTAATTAAAAAGTTCAAAGCAGCTAATTTCATCTCTGGCTGTATATTACCATATGTTGTTCTTTATCTGCAAATGAATAGTTGATACTCACACTGATCCTATTTTACTGCAAACCTAGATATCTCAATACATTTATAAGTTGAGAAGTATACTAAATCAATTTCTTGAAAGACTCCACTAAGTAAAAGAATATATTGAATATTGGTTGCCATATTTTGCTTTGTCATTAAGGCTTCTCCATATTCTAATAAAATAATATTTTAATGGATAATATAGTTTGCAGTTAGATGTTTCTAGTCTTGGAAGAAAACAGATACTACAAATCTTAATTTCAAGAATATGAAAGAAATGTAAAAGAGGTACCAACATTATTTTTTATGTATAGACATCTAAGCACAGATGGTAGGCATCCTTCCAACTCTGGGGAAACTAAATTGAGAATACCATTCCTTTTCCCCCTTTGCTTCTGTTTTGAGAACTTCTAGGCAGGGGTCTTCAAACTACGGCCCGCGGGCCACATGCGGCCCGCAGAGGAGTCTGATCCGGCCCGCCAGGTTTTTTGGGCAGTGAGCGCAGCCGAGGTGTTACAGTAGGAATTAGTAGTTCATATAGTCCGGCCCTCCAGCTCTCTGAGGGACCGTGATCTGGCCCCCACTTTAAAAAGTTTGAGGACCCCTGTTAGTGTTACAGTACTTAGCACATGGAGGAATGTACCTATATTATAATTTAAGATATTCCAAGTATGGATAATTTCTGACCTAAGGAAACAGTTTTTGTAGTTAAATGAAAAAAATGTTCAGCCTAGTCGGGTGGTTTAGTGGTTGAGCAGTCGACCTATGTGATCCAGGAGGTCATAGTTCAATTCCCCATTAGGGCACATGCCTGGATTGTGGGCTTGATTGGCAGTGTGGGGCTTGCAGGAGACAGCTGACCAATGATGCTCATCATTGATGTTTCTATCTCTCTCTTTCTGAAATCAATGAAAATAAAAGAAAAAGAATGTTCAGGAAAAAATTTGTTCTTACAATCCCTCAATTGGCATTTGATTTATTAATTGAATTAATAAATTAGCCATAGGAAAACAAATGAATATAAGAAGTATGTGATTTATAGTATTTAGAAAGTAGTGCTGAGACTGGTTTGGCTCAATGGATAGAGCGTCGGCTTAGGGATTGAAGGGTCCCAGGTTCGATTCCGGTCAAGGGCATGTACCTTGGTTGCGGGCATATCCCCAGTAGGGGTTGTGCAAGAGGCAGCTGATCAATGACACTCATCGATGTTTCTAACTATCTCCCTTCCTCTCTGTACAAAATCAATAATATATATATATTTTTAAAAAGTAGCCATAAGAAAACAAAATGACTTGGGATACTTTATCTTGTTTTACTTCTGTTTGTTTAGTATGTATACATTTGTACTATGGTACAGAAATTTTTCATTTTTATTTTAAAAATTATTCAATTTTAAATTACAAAATTTTGTAAAGGGCTGAAAGTATTATTTAAGCAAATTGATATAAACATTTTAATTTTAAATGAAATAATCCTATCTAATAAAGAGGGAATATGCTAATTGACCATCACTCTGTCACAAAGATGGCTGCACCCACAGCGGAGGCCAAGTTCCCATAAGGAGCCTTAACAAGCAATCAGCAGGGACCTGAGGCTATGCCCTTCCCTGCCCCTGTGGGGCTTGACAGTGGATCTCAGGCTGTGTCCTTCACCTGGTGGGTCTTGATGGAGAACCTCAAGGCATGCCCCCTGCCCCAGTCTGGGCTGGGGGACCGCAGGCCACACCCCCCATCCTGGTGCCAGGCCAGGGGACCTGAGGCTATGCCCCCTGCCCGGCAGGAACTAGACAAGGGTGGGACTGGCCAGGTCTGGATCCAGCTCAGTTGGTAGGGGAGGTGGGGCTGGTCGGGTCTGGGTCTCACGTGATTTTGAGGTGCATGTGGGCTGGTCTTGACTCTGGGTCCTGTGGCGTGCCCCCAACTCTGACAGGAGGAAGGTTTTCATATACATTTTACTAATTTTCTTTCATCTCTGACTTCTATTATAGAGAAAGTGCAAATAGCAATATTAAAATATTTCCTCTAGACTTCTGATCCTCATAGCCAATTGGCTTGGAGAGCAATGCTTCCCAGTGATACCAACAACAAGCAAGGCTTAACAAAAAATGTACACACAGCCCACAAAGGGCTACACCAAGACTGTCCACCTCAGGTAACTGGGAGGCTGACTCACTGAACCATATAGGACACCTTAGCACACAAAGCCACCCTACTAACTCAGGGAAGCTGTGAAAATGCCAAGACAAGGAAACAGATCACAAACGAAATGGAGGAAAAGAAGAATCTGGATATAGCGTTCAAAACCATGCTTAAAGGTTTTTCAAGAATTTCCTAGAAAAGGTCGATAAGACCTATGAGGAGATGAAAAGGGATCAATAAGAAATAATAAGGGATCAACAAGAAATAATAAGGGATCAACAAGAAATAAAGAATACATTGTCTGAAATAAAAAATATTATACAGAGTCCTAAAAATAGAATGGAAGATCACAAGAATCAAGTCAAAGATTTGGAACATAAGGAACCAGAAGACATTCCTCTGCAGAAGCAAGAAGACAAAAGAATCCAGAAAGTTGAAGATAATGTAAGAAACCTCTGGGACAACTTCAAGCAAACCAACATCAGAATTATGGGGGGGTCAGAAGATGAGAAAGAGCAAGATATCAAAAACATACTGAAAGAAATAGTGACAGAAAACTTCCCCCACCTGGTGAAGGAATTAGACTTACAAGTCCAGGAAGCTCACAGAATTCCAAACAAAAGGAATCCAAAGAAGACCACACCACAACAAATCATAATTAAAATTCCAAGAGCAAAAGACAAAGAGAGAATATTAAAAGCAGCAAGAGCAAAGCAGGTAGTTACCTATAAAGGAGCACATATACGATTGTCAGCTGATTTCTCAACAGAAACCATGCAGGCCAGACGGGAATGGCAAGAAATATTCAAGGTGATGAATAGCAAGAACCTACAGCCAAAAATAATCTACCCAGCAAAGCTATCACTCAGAATCGAAGGCCAGATAAAGAGCTTCACCAATAAAAAAAAGCTAAAGGAGTTCATCACCACCAAACCAGAATTATATGAATTGCTGAAGGGGGTTCTTTCGGAAGAGAAAGTAAATAAAGATAAAAACTATGAACAACAAATATGTAACTATCAAGAAGTGAATCTAAAAACCAAAAAAATAAAAAAAAATCTGATGAACAATATTAACTGGTGAATATAATGGAATCAGAGGTATGGAAGGGGAGTGAACTGACAATTCTCGGGGGAAAAGGGTAGAGGGGGGTGTGGGAAGAGACTGAACATAAACTGTGCACCTATGGATGTGGACAATGATGGGTGGGGAAAGGGCAGAGGGTGGGGTGGGGACCTGGTGAAGGGGAGCAACAGAGGGGGTGGGGGAAGAGGAACATCTGTAATAATATGAACAATAAAGATTTATTTAAAAAAATCATTTTACATTGCAAAAAAAAGAAAAAAGGGGTCTCCCTTAAAGATGTCTTAAAATAACGCCTGGCTGTTTCCATTCTCACCCTTCAAGTGCTTTTTTCTATGGCTGGTGGTGACCTGTCTCATTATATTGTAGAAAAACTCCTATTTGGGCGGATGAAATACTACGTGGTGATGTTGATTCACGGGTCTGAGAATACAAGACTTTCCATAGATAAGCCGCCTCCTCTAGGAAGCTGGGGTCCGTCTTCTTTGCACACACAGCCCGTGACCGTGTCAGGACCTGATTATGACCAGAGAACCACCCTGTGCGTGTTTGTGACCTCTGAGTGTGGGCGGGCATTCACCAACAACATTGCTGACACCTTTACCTGATTCATTAAAAGTGGGGTTTGGCTTCAGGTGAATTGCTTGTTATAGAAAGAACAATGGCCTAGGAATTTTAAATCCTGAACTTGAGCAGTGTCTGAATCTTTTTTCAAAATATATTTTATTGAGAAACATAAATAATGAGAGAATGTTATTGATGCCTCTGGCACGCCCCATATTGGGAATATCGAGCCAGCAACCGGGGGGCACGTGCCCTTGACCTGAATGGAACCCAGGACCCTTCAGTCCGCAGGCCCACGCTCTAGCCACTGAGCCAAACCTGCTAGGGCTGAGTCTTCTAAAGTTGTGAGATCTAAGTGCTTGTGTTTCACAATAAGGAACTCCTCTGACTTTGCACATCTGATTCGTAAACCCCCCAAAGCAGTTGTCGGCAAACTGCGGCTCTCGAGCCACATGCGGCTCTTTGGCCCCTTGAGAGTGGTTCTCCCACAAAATACCAAGGCCTGGGCGAGTCTATCTTGAAGAAAGTGGTGTTAGAAGAAGTGTAAGTTTAATAAATTTGGCTCTCCAAAGACATTTCAATCGTCATACTGTTGATATTTGGCTCTGTTGACTAATGAGTTTGCTGACCACTGGTTTAGAATATAAGATTTTAAGTTCCTCCAACACTGCACTAAAACATTTCAATAAAATCATGCTTTCCACTCTTTCTTCTTCTTTTTTTTTTTTTTTAAAGTACTCAATTCCCACAAATCCATTCTCTGTAGGACATTGTCTACCGTATTTTCCGGCATATAAAACGACCCCCTAATTTTACAGTTAAAACATAGGTTTAGGCCTATATTTGCTGTATAAGACTATCCCCCACTTCCGAGGCAACACCAATTCTTTTTTTAAAAAATATTTTTTCTATTTTTTATTTATTAAATTTTTTTTTTTTTTTTTTTTTTTTTTCCAGAAGTAAAAGGTTTTTATTGTCAAGAAAGAGGTATAGGTAGGAATACACAGAGAATTTTCAGGGTGAGATGGGCTGTTTAATTTGACTAAAAATTTGTTGGTCCCAACAATATTGCAAGGTGATGGGAAATGTCTGAATAGAGAACTCAGGTTTGACTTTCTTTTTAGGATATTGCTGATTTTCTAGCAAATAGATGGATGTGATAGAAGCAAGGTGTTAGGAAGTCTCTGTGGGCAGCATCCTGTAGATTCAATGTGCTGATAACGATTAGAAAGCTACTTCATTATCCCAGTAACAGATAAGAAGGATCTTAACTGCATCATGGTAAAGAGAACAGAGTGGAAAGTGAGATGCAGATTATATGGGTTCTGTTGTTCTTGGCATTTTATTTAGATGTGAGGAGGAAGGCAGATGAGATTCTCAATTATTTATTAAATTATTATCTGTGTACATATTTTAACATTCCCCCCTCCCATACATACCAATTCTTTTTTTAATTAAATTTTTAATGAATGACATTTTTCGAACATATACCGTACATTGATACGATAAATGGAAGGTCTCTTCACAAATGGCAATGCCATGAACTTGACTGAGAAACAAGAAATCCAAAAGGGAACATTTACAATGATGGCATCATCTGGAAAGAAAATTACATGAAGAACTTGCAGAAAACGCTTGTTTGTGACTGACTGGGATGATAAGAGGTTTTTCTAGGCAGAGGAGCATTGTGAGCTTAAAATCCTTCAAAATCCTCATCATGTTCTTCTTCTGACACCATAAGTTCATCAAATTCGGAATTTGATCCATTTGTAAGACAGTCATCATATGGATCAAATTCTGAATCAGATGGTGTGGCTTCAGCTTCGGCTTCCCCTTCATCTTGCCACAAGAAGTCATCCTCCATACCGTCCAAAGAATTTGATATGCCACACTTCTTTTTTTTTTTTTTAAATATATTTTATTGATTTTTGTACAGAGAGGAAGGGAGAGAGATAGAGAGTTAGAAACATCGATGAGAGAGAGTCATCGATCAGCTGCCTCTTGCACACCCCCTACTGGGGATATGCCCACAACCAAGGCACATGCCCTTGACCGGAATCGAACCCGGGACCCTTCAGTCCCCAAGCCAACGCTCTATCCATTGAGCCAAACCGATCTTGGCTGATTTGCCACACTTCTTGAAAGACCTGATTACTGTTTCTTCAGTAATATCATTCCAGGCTTTTATGACAAAGTTACACAAAACATCCAATTGTGGCGCACGCATGTTTCCTCCTTTTGTGAATATAACCATTTTGATGATGCTC